CTTTAGTGTCCCCGGTCCTCTGAGGGTCACCCATGGTGTACAGCTGCATGGGTGGGGTTTAAAGGAAAGAGAGGAAACTATTATCTCTTTACCTCATTTTTTATACCATTTCCTGAGGTGATATATTGTTTATATATATTGCCTGGACATCAGATTGCAAAACTAGCCACAGCCATAGAAGCTGGGCAGTGACATACACTTTTCATCCCAGCAATCAGGAGACAGAGGCAGATGGATCCCTATGAGTTCAAGGCCACCTGAGGCTACATGAGAATGAATCAGTCTAAAAGAGAAACAGCTCACCCTTTGATCCCAACATTGGAGAGGTATATCTGATGGCTCAGTGCCTCATGCTGGACTCTAGTCTCCAGCCATGATGAGGTCAGGGTCCCCCAGCCTTGGTAGAGGTAAGAGCTCTGGTGGCATGGGGGCTTTGCTTTTTTGATCTTCGGCTTGAACTCTGTGTTCTTATTATTTGTGTTACAATTTCCCATCATATTTCATGCATAAATATTCTTTCTCCTCCCTCCTTCCCTCCCTTCCTTCCTTCTTCCTTTCTTTCTTACCAACCAATAGTAGGAGAAAGAAGGCAGGCAGTCCAATCCTGTGTCATGTATTCACATAAAACTAGAAAATGAGAAGCCCTGGAACATTGGTTAGTGAACAAGTGAGTGCACACATGCATGTGTGCCTGTGTGTTTTTTTTTTTTTTTGTGTGTGTGATGTTGAGTATTTTTTAACTTTTAAAAAACTGAAATGTAGCAGCGTCTCACAATAGGTTTTTCTTGACATATCCAGGGAGATATTTAAGTGCCTAAGTTATTTTTGAAGTGTGTGATAGGAAGGCATATTTCTGAGTCCTTGAATGTACGGTGGACACTGCTTCTTGTCCCTTATTGTCTTTGCCCTCAACCCAGCTCTGTCAGGTCCTATCAGTTCCATTTAAGTGAGGAAACTGAGGTTCAGGGAAACAAACTCAGGATCATCACACCACTGGTTAGTGGGTAGCTGGACTGTGAATGGGCTCTGCCTACTATGGAAGGCGCGTCCTTCCCAGAATGCCCGTCTTCTGTGCACATTTCTTAGTCTTTGAATCAAGCCTGAAAATTGTAGTGACACTAAATAGGCTGCTTCTTAGGCTTGTTTCTCATAACATGCCAACACACACACACACACACACACACACACACACACACACACAGAGAGAGAGAGAGAGAGAGAGAGAGAGAGAGAGAGAGAGAGAGAGAGAGAGAGAGAGAGAGAGAGAGAGAGCTTTAGGGAAACCTGTTTTCATTTATTCTCGAGTCATTTGATGTGATCCCCTCTTGTGATGGTCCCAGAGGGGGATGGGCTTATTCATGCCATGCTGTTCATGAGTTGTGAGTGTCCGCTAGGAGTCACCTGTTTACAGTGGAATCTTTAAACCATTTTGGGGAAGTATGTGAACATGTGCCTTTGCATCCTCTTGGAGGGAGGCTCTGGACAACCTCACCTTGCCCTGCAGGCAGTCTGTCAAGTTCAGTTCTCATAAGATAGCCTTCATACTGCTGATTTATGCTAAAAGTATCCTAATGTTTCTGACAGCTCATGTGTGACATGAATATAATCCATATATCTCAAAGGAGCTAATCCAAGTGGCTTATTTCCCGATACTGCTGATAGGGCTATATCTCTTGGTATCTGCTGCAGAGATTCTGATGGTAACATATTGTTTCTGGGTCACTAGCTTTGTCTAAAACAGTAGGTTGGAACAGAGTAGCAAAGGTTAATTAAGTTTGTCCATCATGTTGGGAACACATATGGATGACTCCGGTGCATTTCGCTCTAAAATCTAAGTTCCTGAAATGTGCGGTTGCTGGCATCTTTGCTTCTCACTTTCAAGCGATCCAAAATGAAGTTTCTTAACTTGATGCAGAGCGATGAAAAGAGCTGGGTTGTTGAAAGGCCGTGGCAGCAAGTAGTAGCCCTTTAAGTAGGCAAGTATCTCCATTGAAATTGGGAAGGTGTCAGTGGAAGAAATCAGGGGCTCAGCAGTTCGCTCCCAGCCTTCTTCCTTTGGTGCCTCTGAGTAGAACCAAGCTCTGATCAGGAAACTAAAGGTTCATCCCAGACAGGGCTTGAAAGAGTGTAATTCAAGTGAATATCAGGGTCTGGTAGTCCCTGAAGTTAGTTGTATTATCTGGGAACACCCTTCTCATTAATCCCCAGCTAGCTTACTAACAGAGTGTGCCTTTTGAGCCCTTCACCTGTGGAAGGTCAGCTTTCTGTAAGATCGGACATTTCTATCTGAGCCTCACTACACAGGTGGCAGATGGGATTCAGGAAGCGGGGAGATCAGACACTCTTGAGCTGTCTTGGGATGTTACTGTCACCAGAGACAGCCTGGGTTAGGGTGCAGGAAAGGAGGCCGTGGTTCAGATTTATTGCCATGTGTTTTCGCAACAGTTCAGTAAAACAAAACCCCAAGATTCAAGGCTTCATCTGGAGTTAATGCTAACAGCTTGTGCACTTGCTGCCTGTTCAGTCCCTGTCTGGGTCACACTCCAGTTCAGAGACTGGGGTGGGTAATAAGATTATAAAACATGCCTCTTGCTTGCCAGCCACCACATGCTAATAATAACAGCAGACATAATTCACTGGAATCTTGGAGTTTTTAGGTTTTGCCTGGTTTATTTGTGTAACATAAAGGAACAACAACAACCTCAAAGAAACAAGGTAGTATTGTGTAACACACACACACACACACACAGAGAGAGAGAGAGAGAGAGAGAGAGAGAGAGAGTGTTATCATCCATTGACATAACTGAACAGTTCCTCCATTTGCCACTGTGGTTACCTTTCACCCAGAGGTGAGAACAGGGCCTTCAGGGTTATCAGATTAGTTTGAAAGTGGCCCCCCAACCTTGCCATAGTTCTGATGTTGGGGTGAATGCGTGGTTATCAGGGGAACTGCCATGAGCCTTTGGGAGTATAATAGTGTTGCTGGCTTTTGTCTCTAGATGCGGTAGCAATTCTGTTTTCTTTCAGGTATGACAACTGAACATGTTTCCAGATAACCAAATCTTCCCATAGGGACAAGCTTGTTCCCAAATGAAAACTGCTGCTTTAAGATCAAATACATTTCAAAGGGTTCATTATCCACCCATCTTGTCTAAGGCCAGAGCACCAGAGCTGTGTTGTCTATGTATCAGCTGTCTGTCTTGCCTATCTAAAATTAGAAGGGAGCAGGAAGTGACTTGGAGTTACTCCCAGGCTTTCTGGAGAGAGCATGAGCTTGGCTTTAACTCCGTGTTTAAGCGGGCTCTGTATTCTCAGAGGCACAAATCCTTCCTCCTGTGCAGGTTTGCGAGTAGATGGTTATTGTAGTGGTACTACGTTTTCTTCCTGAGTTTAGCTCCTAATGGTTGAGCCACCCTTCCAGCCCTTATGCATTATTCTTCCAGTTGGTGACCTCAGGAAACTCAAATTTTAATAACCTCAAGTGGAGTTTGGCTTTTTGTATCCTTCCCCCCCCCCTTTTGATGGGCAGTCTTCTGTTGTCTCAGGGAAGCATTGGGGAAACTTGAGTTACTGAAAACAACTCACTCCCAAGTTCTAAGTAATCACAGTTTTAATGCTTTCTGGGAAGGTAAAGAATTAAATGGGGGAATGTATTGAAATGGTGCCTATTTTCCAGTGAGCTGAGAGCCATTTGTCCACACAGCTTTCTAGGCAGTGTGCGAGCTGGGATGGCAGCTGTTGGCCAATCTGCTTGTCAGACTTGACCTTTTGAACTTTTTAAAATACATGGGATCTTGTTCTTCTCTGGTGTATGGATGTATATTGGTAATTTTAGAGTCTTGGCAACATGTTAAAATTACCTGGGGAGCTTTGGAAAGACCCAGGGTCCAGGCACATGCCAGACCAGTTGAAATAGATTTTCAAGGGGTGGAACCAAGGCATCAGCTCTTTCCTTCCAATGAGAATCAAGACTGATAACTTGTCCATGTATTTACAAATAAAGTTTTATTGGGACACAGCCATACCCATTCATTTGCTGTTGCCTAGAGACATCATGGTAAACCCTGCATTAGTTACTCTTTGGCCATCTATAGTAAAATGCTTGCTGACTGTTGCTCTGAAATCATGGTGAATATTATCAATTTTATTATCTGTATGTACTTCCACAACAAAATTAAAAAAAAATGCAGTGTTTTGTAGAGTTTATAGGCTCAAGCTTGTAGGCACAGGAGATATTGAGACCCATTTTCCCTGAGGAACTGACTTGTAGATGTTGTCAAACCTGAGAGAGAGGTGACTGACTTGACACTCAGAGGGGGAGCTCATTATTCCCATGGGCATCTGTGCTTGAAATTGGCCCCTGACTATCACACTAGTACTCATTTTTTTCAGACTGTGTAACTGACCCCTGGGAAGCCCTGCAGCTCTAGTTTGAAGGATGCAGGAGTTCTGCTGAAGCCCTTACGGAATCCGTAACAATCCCCTCTCAGTCTTAGACATACTGAAAGTATGGCTCAGTGGGTAAAGTACTTGCCATGCAAGAGTGAGGCTCAGAGTTCAGATGCTCAGCATCTGTATAAATGTGGGGCAGGCCTGGGCCGCCAGTTATCAAGAGGTGGGGATGAGATCCCTGGAGCCAGCTGGCCAGTTGGAGTAGCTGAATTGGTGAACTCTGGGTTTACCCTACCTTGGTATATAAGGTGCAGAGTCTCTGTGATTGTGCCGACATTGGGGTATGGAGTGTGTGACTGCTCATCTTGTGGGGCCCAGGAAGAAAAGCCAGACAGACACTGGAGGGGTCAAAGACAGACTACCCTCTAGAGTCTGCCCCACCCCAACCCAATAGCCTATTGCCTCCAGTTAGGTCTCATCTTCTAGGGGTCCCAGAATTTCTCACGTTAGTGCCATGCAGTGGGGACCAGGCCTTGGGCACATGATCCTGTGGGGCACACTTCATATTCAAATCATAACCAAGGTGTTCTTTATTTTTTCTCAAGCAGATGAAAGGCGCGGAGAGCCGCCACCCGGTGGGCTCCCAGTACAGGATGCACTCATACTACGGGCCTCCCTCCTACCTGGGCCAGAGCATGTCCCAGATCTTCACCTTTGAGGACGGCCCCTCCTATTCAGAAGCCAAAGCAAGCGGTAGGTTCTATGATTTTTTTTTTTTAAATGAAGTTCTGTGTATGAAAGTTCTTTCACAAAGAGTCTTGCTTTAAAAGTCAAAGTACATTCATCTTTTGGGGGAAAAATAAAATAACACACTAAAACATTTTTTAATACAGTAGATCTGGGCTTCCGCAGTAGCAATGCAAATAATTGTGATATGGCTGAAATAAAAATGACTGTTTAATGAACCAAAGCACTTTGAAATACACAATTACTCAACTTCAGTTTTAACCTTCTCCCCAACAGTTATGCTGAGTTGATGGGCTGGTCTTTCCTGGCCGCATTTCCAGAACCTGGCTTTAAGTTATTTACACTTCAGCATTGTCTTTTGGTTTAGAAAAGCTAGAAGCAAAAAGTTGAGTCCAGAAGTGGCAATCAGGGCAGTCCTGGGTGTTGTGGAAGAGACTGATCAGGACATTCGAGATTACCTTGTACTAAATGGAAGGAGATATTAATTTCCTAAGTAACATGACTATAGGGGAAGGGTTTTTTTTTTCTTTTAATTTTATTTATTATATGTTACACAAGGAAGGGGAAGGGCACAATGTGTGTGTGAAGGCCAGAGGACTTTGTGAAAGTGGTTGTCTTCTTTGACCTTTCATGGACCTCAGAGACTGAACTGAGTTCAGCACCTGGGGTAGGTCAGGGTAGGACACCTTCACCTACTGAACCATCGTCCAGGCCAAGAGTTTCTTTGCAAAGCATATGCTTAAGAAAATGAGAATCAGAACTATGACTTGATTTCCACAAATGGAATTAAATCTTTAAAAGCTGGGCAAGAGCTCTTGTCAATAACAGTTAAAAAAAAAAAAAAAAAAAAAAAAAAAAAATGGCTGGACAAATGTTGCTTTATTTACTCTTCTAAAATACAGTGATGTGATGTCTTCAGTGGACACAGGACATTTAGGTCATGGAAACAAGGTGGTTTGATGTGAAGAGACTGAAGCAGACAACGATGGCCGCACTTTCATTATTGTTAATACTGGATCGCCATGGGTCGTATAGACTAACCTCTCTGTTTCATAAATAGCCACATTCTCGGAGGCGCAGCGGCCTTTGGGATCTACATTCCCCTTAAGAACACACATCTCAACATTCCTTTTCAGGCTCCTCTTTTCAGTCTCCCTTTGCTCTTTGTTGGTTGAGTAAGTAAGTGAACGAATGAAGGATTCTGCCTGTTTTAAGTGACCTTGCCCCATCCCCATGGGTGAACAAAAGCCCGAGCAGTCAGGATCCCGACTCTCCTGTCAGACATAGCCAGTGTACAGTTTGGAGAAGAAGTGGTTAAAGAGACTTGTCTTCATATAGAAAATTAGGAAAGAGTTCCCCGCAAGGAGGAAATCACCTAAGATTCTTTTTCTAGCAATAACGGAATAGCTTTAGAAGCCTGGCCTTCTTGAGTTAAAGGTGTCTCGATTCAGAGTAGGGCAGTAAGACAAAAAAAAAAAAATAAGAGGCAGTATTGTATTTGAAGAGGAGCACTAGATGTCTGATGTTATGGCCAAGGAGGCTGTCACTTAGGAGGAAGGAGGTAAATGTCCACAAAAATGGGGTTGGTTGCACTGGGATTTAGCATGAGGCATCTGGTCTCACTTCCTGGGACTCTCTGCTTCCCTGATAATTAGTCAGAATTAGCTCAAGCTGTGGGAAAGAGAGAGCTAGCCTCAAAGAACCAAAGATAAATTATGGAATTATAGAAAGAAAAAAAAAAAAGAATTAGTGGAAAATCTAAAACCTGGCTAATTGGTGAAAGAATGTGGCTTTCTGAGGTCTAACTAGCTGCCTGTTTATCAGATGTTCCAAATGGTCTTCTGAGTGATTTGAAGAAGAGCATTGTAAGTGGGCTTAGTGGGATTTTACTTTTTATTTGAGCATGAGTTTGTCCATTAATATATTTTTTCAATTTTTTAAATGGATAACCGTAACTTACTGGCTGTCTCTGCCCAAGCTAGGGACTCGAACCCGTGGATCCCAGTTAAGTGCTGTACCACTGAGCTACAGCCCCAGGCCTGTAAAAAAGGCTTTTCTTTGAGATAGTTGCTCAGGCTGGACTTAACTCACTGTGTAAATCAGGGTAGCTTCAAATTTGTGAGCCTCCTGCCTCAGGAGTAGCCGGAATTACAGCTATGTACCATCTTGCCCAGCTAACTTTAGTATCTAGAGAAATAGGTGTGAAATTGATGTCGTCCTCTGGATTTACAATGAATGGTAGCATGAAACAGTGTCGTGAAAAAAGTGTCAAAAGTTCCTCGCTGCTACCTTGCTTCTATTGTTGTTCTCGTGGGAAAGGTCTGAGCAGACCTCTTCCCCATCCTGAAGTGATGGTTGGGATGAGTGCCTGGGTGGAAACTGAGGTCACATATGTGTACCACCCATGCTTGATTACTGGTTCTGGACATTAAACCCAGGATCCACTGAGGAACATTCTCAGCCTCTGGGAGATTAATTTTAGACCAGATTCGAGAAGCCTCTGAGATGTGCATGTGGGTTCTAAGCAGAAGTTGGATGTGTGAAGTCTGAGATGAGGGGGAAACACCTCTACTAGAAATAAATTGAGAGTTCAGTACACAGACTGTATAAGTCAGTCCCTTGAGATCATCCCGAGAAGAGAATATACAGGAAGGCAGAGGGCACACAAAGGGTGGAGGCTGGATCCTGGGGACCTGCTACGTTCTGAGCACTGGTCGAAGGGATGGCCAGTGAAGGAGACAAGAAGCAGTGAAGTGGATGAAGGCTTCAAGTGGGTGGTGTTTCAGAAGTCCAGGGAAGAAAGAACTTCAGTGAACCAAGCCAAGCAGTGCCTGACAGACCATATGTAGACAGGAAAGCTGGGATTGCCCATTGGCTGTTCCCAGGTAAAAATGAAGGACAACCCTGCTGCTCTGGTCTGGAGCTGGAGCCTTCTTCATTCGCAGACAGCCTGGGGACCAGTTGCTGCTTGGTCTACGAGGCTGTATGACTCAGCAGGCCTAGTCTGGTGGCTCACTCTGGAGGATTCCTGGAGAGCCAGCCACTGGTGTTCAGTCCATGCTGGAAGTCCAAAGGGAAGGTGTTTCTGTGTTAGCAAAGGGCAGTGGCAGCAGTGGCAATGACAGGTGTAAGGTAGATGCACTCATTAGCAAGAGGTGAAGGTGGGCAGGTGAAGGGCAATTGCTTTTCTCTGGGACTTCTTTATTTCTGGGGAGGATCTCCCCTGTAGAAGTCAGTCCTTCTGGAAAATACCCTTATAGACCCACCTAGTGGTTCCAGATCCAGCTAAGATTAACCATTCCAGCAGGACCCAGGGAGCCAGGCCAATGGCCTCCAGAGTGACAGCTTAGGTGGGTCTGCAGATCCCTTCCCTACTGGTTGAAGAAGAGTGATACATAAAGGAATAAAGAATTAGGAGACACTTGACAGGGCAGCTAGTCATCTAGTGAGCGTGATGTAAAAAAAATAAATAAATAAAAACTAAAAAAGAGTGCTTGTAATTTTTATCTTTCATTGTTGTCGTAATTCACTGGTACCTCACATAAGATAATCATGAGACACCTGAAACTGCCGTTGGGTCGTTTCACAGTTAGGCACAGTGTGTCATAGTTAGGGCAACTGTCACTTCTGTCTGGTTCCAAGTCATGTTTACCCACTGAAGAGGAAACTCTTATCCATGAAGCAATTGCGTCTGCTCCTCCTTTCCTAAGCCCCTGGTAACATGTTCTCTGCCTCCAGGTTTCCCTGTTCTCCATGTTTCGTGCCAGTGGACTAGGTGACACGTGGCCCTTTGTTAATTTCTTCCTCTTAACCACATAGTTTCACGGTTCATCCACGCTTTAGCATAAATTAGTGCTTCCTTCATTTTTATATCTGAAAAATACTCTGTGGTTTCCATGTATCGTATTTCGTTCGTTCATCGTTTGATGGACATTTGGCTTTGACTGCCATGAATTGATAGTGCTGGCATGACACTCAAGCATGCCTGTTTGATTATCTGTTCTTCGTTCTTCTGAACTTATGCTTAGAAGTATGTATTAGTCAGCTTTTGTTGCTATAATAAAAACTACTGAATTAAGTAGCTTTCAACGAGTAAAGGTTAGTCTTGACTTACAGCTTTGGAGGTCCTGGTTTATCTCTTGAGTGGACCATTGATTTGGGTTTCTGGTGGGGAGCCACATGACAAAGGTACACCCTGGAGTAAAACCATTGACCTTGTCAGCCAGGAGACAAACAGAACAAGAGGAAGAGACTAGGGTCCTGGGCCTTCTTGGGGGGGGGGAGGAGATAGGGGGTGTTCCAGTGATTCAGGCACCTCCCACTGGGAACTGAATTTAAGGTCGGGTACTTGCTAGGCAGCAAGCCCTGTACCACTGAGATGTATCCCATCTGTCTTTTATCCTTTTTACTACAGGTAGCCTAGGCTGGCCTCAAGCTCACTCAGTAGCCATCCAGGCTTTGAACATGCCATCTTCTTGCCTCCTTAGAATTACAGACCTGAGCCATGAGGCCCTGCGGCCCCTTCCAGGTTCTGCCACCTCCTAATAGTGCCACCCTGGAGACAATGCCTTTTCGTGTATGTCTATCCAAACCATCCAGAGTGGAATTGCTAGGCCTTGTGGGAGTCTTATATTTAATTTTTTGAGGTGCGTTAACCTGTTCTCCCAGCAGCTGCCTGCCTTATATTCCCATCAGTATATGAAGGCTCCGCATTTGCCCACGCCCTAACTAACACTTAACTTGTTTTCCAATTTTCTCAATGATGGCTCTCATAACTCATCTTTATTATACTATAAAAGTATCTAATCAAAGTAGATTAGAAACTCAAAGTAAGTAAAGCATAAGTCCTTCCCTCCATATAGTTTGGAAATCACTGCTTTGCCCAAGAAGACTGGTGTGGGAGAAAGTGTGGCCAGTGCATAGCAACACATGGAGGGTGTTTGAGAAGTGGCTGTGGGGACATCCAGGAAATGACGCCCACTCCGGAATGGATGACATGGGGGTGC